GTCTCTGTCTCCCCCTGCCTCTTCCCCCTCTAAAATCAATTTTTATAAAAATCCAACATCCATTCCTAATAAAAAAAAAATCTAACAAAGTAGTAATAAAAGGGAACAACCTCAGTCTAATAATGAGGATTTACACAAAACCAAGAGATATCATCATACTTATTTATCTAAGGATTGAATGCTTTCCCTCTTCTATTCCACATTGTACTGGAGTAACCAATGAAATCTGCAAGGAAAAGAGACATTTGGATTGGAAGGAAGAAATAAAACAGCCCTTTTATTCACAAACACGATCTCCTAAGTGTAAAAGCTAATGGAAACTAAATAGAAATAACAGAACTAATATTTGCATCTAGCCAGGTTATAGAATACAAAAACAATATACCAAGATCAACTGTATTTCTATGCACTAGCAATTACCAATTGAAAAATTTTAAATGCCATACATGAAAAATTGAGATACAAGCTTACCAAAGTTATAAAAGACTTGTACATTGAAAACAACAAAATACTGCTGACAGAAACTACAGATCTTAATAAATGGAGTAACTTGTTCTTGGGTCAGATGACTTAATATTGTTACCATGTCAAATCTGTCCCAAACTGAGCTATAGATTCAATGCTATCCCAATCAAAGTCCCAAAAGGCTTTTATAGGGAAATTGATGACTTAGTTATAAAATTCATATGGAAATGCAAAGAATCTAGAATATCCAAACAACTCTGCAAAAAAAAAAGAAACTGGAGGACTAATACTACCCAATTTCAAGAATTATTGTAAAGCTATAAAATGAAAATAAAGTGGCACTGGTATAAAGGCAGACAAACAGGCCAATGTGACAGAAGAATCCAGAAATAAACTGACATATACATGGGCAAATTATTTTTTAACAAAAGACACAAAGGCAATAAGGTGAAGAAAAAATAGGCTTGAAACAAATGAATATTAACAGGTAATCACTGGATCTCTATTTGCACCATATACAAAAATGGACCACAGTCAGAAATGTAAATAGAAAAAATTACGAGAAAATCTTTGCAACCTAGTAGTTAGGCAGTTTTCTTAAATGTAACACCAAAAGAACAATCCATAAAGAAAAAAAATGGCTACACTGAAATTGATCAAAATTTGATAGTCTGGTCTTCAAAAGGTACTATTAAGAAAGGATTAGCCCAGCCAGTGTGGCTCAATGATTGAGTGTCAACCTATGAACCAGGTCATGGTTCAATTTCCAGTCAGGGCACATGCTGAGGTTACAAGCTCGATCCCTGGTATGGGGAGTGCAGGAGGCAGCCAATTAATGATTCTCTCTCATTGTTGATGTTGCTACCTCTCTATTCCTCTCCCTTTCTCTTTCAAATCAATAAAAATATTTTTTAAAAAGAGATGATTAAATCTGGGAGAAATTTCACCAAGGAGGTGAAAGTTCTGTACAATGAAAACTCTAAAATATTAATAAATGGAAAGCTATTCCATGCTCATGGATTTTAAATGTCCATACTACCCAAGGCAATCTACAAATTCATTGCAATTCCTATCAAAATTCCAATGGCATATTTCACAGAAATGGAAAAAAAATACTAACATTTGTATGGAGTTACAAGAGACACTAATAGCCAAAGCAATCTTGAAAAAGGAAAATAAAGCTGAAAGTATCACATATCTTAGAAAAAATATTGCAACTATCACTCCTCCTGATTTGAAATGATATTATAAAGCTATAGTAATCAAAACAGTATGATGCGGACAACCAAGATGGCGGCATAAGGTATATACCTGTACATGCCGCCCCTCACAACCACATTAAAACTACAACTAAAAGACAAAATAGCTTTCATCCAGAACCACGGAAAAGCTGGCTGAGTGGAAGTTCTACAACTAGAAGTAAAGAAAAAAGTGCATTGAGGCTGGGTAAGAGGTGCGGAGGCATCAAGAGCAGAGGTACAGAGGCACGTGAACCAGGCTGCACCTAGTTGCACAGTTTTTTTCAATCAGGAGATACAAGGTCACAACTGCACTGAACTTGTTTCTGGCGAGACTCTAGGGACCCAGATTCCTACGGGGAGAAACTGGACTGTCTGGCATTGGGTCGGAAAGTGAGAGTGGCTTTCTTGCAGAACTGCTCACAGAAATCATTGTTACTGTGGGGGCGCAGGACTCGGGACACGGAGACGACGAGTCTCGGAGACGGCTGAGGACAGCCATCGCTGTTTGCTCCGCCCTGGTGATTCTCTGAGACCCTGCCCCACCCAATTTACAACCCCACCCAAACTGTGCGCAGCGGTGCAAAAGAATCGCCTGTCTTTTTGCAGCCTAACCTAACAAACTGCAGCTAGGTCACAGAGCTCCAAAATTTCCAAACCCCAAACAAAGAGGAGAAATCTGCTGATATCGCTGTAGCTCCTGCTGGGTGGAGGCAGGCTCACTGAGCACCAAAGCCCCACTGAAGCAAGTCCTGCCCCATAAGGGTGTCTCCAGCACAGCAGTTCTTCCACTATAGACACAGCGGGTCCTTTCAGTCAATTGGCCTGAAGGTCATTTCCTCCCAGGGATACCAACAGCAATCAAGGCTTAACTACAGCAAGACTGTGCACAAAGCCCACAAAAGGGTGCACCAAGAGTGCCCACCTCAAGTGACTAGGGAGGCTGAGCCACTGGGCCCAATAGGACACCTACCACACAAAGCCACTCTATCAACACAGGGAAGCAGCCAAAATGCAGAGACAAAGAAACATGTCACAAATGAAAGAAATGGAGGAAAGCAAATTACTGGATTAAGAGTTCAAAACCACAGTTATAAGGTTGCTCATGAATCTTGTACAAACCTCCGAGGAACTTAGTGAGACCTTCAAGGATCTTAATGAGAATGCCAAAAAAATGGAAAATGACCACTCAGAAATTAAGCTACACTGACTGAAATAAAGAATAATATACAGAGATCCAACAGAAGGCTAGAGGATCCCAAGAATCAAGTCAAAGATTTGAAATACAAAGAAGCAAAA